CTCTTTCGGCGTGATTTTTTATTGAGGCCCAATGTATGGTTGGAAGCGAGTTGCATACACGTTCTCGTCACCGTCTGTGCTCTATATGTGTCTCCTATATCTGGGTCTTTATATTTTTACCCTTCCGAAACGATGCCCACCCATACAAAAAATAAGCCTGCTTGTTAGGTAAGCTCACTCATGAGGCCTTTACCGTAACAAAACTGCCTCATGCCATTCTGCTCTCTGATTTCTTCGGGAGCCTCCTAAACACACTTAATGAGCAAGGAGAATATCCAATGTGCAGACGTCCGCGAATTCAAAGACGCCATTATAATGAGACCCATCCAAAAATAACACAGTTGCCCTCTCACACGCAGTGACTTGGCATAATCAATGCAGCAAATGTCCACAATCTTAAGAGTCAAGTGAGTTAGAGTGCTGTGTGTCAAAGCTTTTCTGCTCGCTCTTGTGCTATACTGGCAGGCTCAACCACAGTTGCCTCATCTGGTGCTCGCAGCAACACTTTATCCCTTTCATCCTGGCTTCGCAGTGCTGCCCTCTTGATAAGAGATGTGGCATTGAATTGTGAGACATGCATTGCACAACACATATAAGTAAAGATAGATATGTGGGGTTTAACGTCCCAAAACCACCATATGATTATGAGAGATGCCGTAGTGGAGGGCTCCGGAAATTTCGACCACCTGGGGTTCTTTGACGTACACACAAATCTGAGCACACGTGCCTACAACATTTCTGCCTACATCGGAAATGCAGCCGCCGCAGCCGCGATTCGAACCCGTGACCTGCGGGTCAGCAGCCCAGTACGTACCTTAGCCACTAGACCACCGCGGCGGGGCACATATAAGTAAAGCTAAGGCCACACATGTGCCTGACGACAACTTCATTTTTATAAATAAAGCATTGCACGTTAACGCTTCCAACTGCCAATTGAAAAGCATTACGCCGTATTTGATCAAGTACTCCGTTATGACAATTGTATTCACATCACCTGAAAAACATACCCGGAACTATGGCACTTGCATGCATAAAAAACATATGGTATGTAGATATACGGAAACTCCCCCTTTTATGATGAAAAAAAAAAAACTCAAGTACTTCACGTTCAAGAAGCCTTTTCTTCCTTTCAAAATTTCTCAGCCGCCTGAGTTGTGCTCCACTCTTACATCGAAGCACGCACATTTATTGCAACTCATTTTCTTTATTGTTAATACTGAGCGTTTATTTCGTTGCACCTACCAGAGCCAAGAACCTTGCGAACTTCTGAAAATACGAAGGTCTTCAAATAGTTCGGTAAGACATGGAACATCATGGAATAACAATGGTGCAAGTCAACAACAGCTTCGTGCAAAGAATGCGGATTTTGTTCCTCTGCGCACGTTATTTTATGTAATTGTGAATCACCACTCTGCCAGTTGCAAATATCAGATAGTAGAGAAGGTACTGCCACAGGAAGCATTTTTTATACAAAGGATGTTTTTCAACAAATGGGTCTTGAGAGACATTGCACATCGTTGTGTTGCTATGCAACTGACGCCACATTCTAGAAATGTTATCGTGTGGCGTGTGAATAATTTCACTGGGGCATAGTTTAATTAGGCAGATGGCATGGCTAGTTGGTTGAGCTTACTTAAGGTTATTAGCGTGAAATTTACAGCCCGAAAGCAACTCAAACAAGAAAAATATGAATTGTGTTGTGAGAGAGCTCTGCTCCTTGGGATGCGAGGTCGCCGCAGCAGGCAAAAAGGAATGATGAAACTTTTATTATTTTTTGTTCATAGTTTTCTACTCTTAACTCGATTATTTGAAAAAAACTTTTAAAAAAATTTCAGTTGCAAAATGATCGCTTGTGCCGTCTGCTCCCTGTCCATGGTCGTGCGTTATTCACGCGCTCTTAACCTTCATTTTGGCATAGTGCGCCTGTGTGGTCAAAATAACGGTCATACTTCTTATGCGTGTTTTTCGTAACAAAACACAAAAAATGGCAGATCCCAAAAACAGTGGGAATTGATGATATGAGAAGCACGAATGAATGTGACTTTGAAATCAGAGAACGTTACGAGGTGAAGGTAAATAATGCTGTACATGACTTCCTTGTCATGATTATCATGTTTGGATGTGTCGTTGATCTTTGTCATTTATTGTCGTCACGCGATACCAGATTTAGTATATGCGGAGCTAACGTAACGGCTGCGAGCACGCTATAACCATGGTACGTTGTCATGTTCTTCTATGACACGCGTGTCACAATTGTCGTGTTTGCATCAGTCATATATTTTTGTCATCCATTGAATTCACGTAACATGAAATTTTGTATAAATGGAGCTAGCAAAACGGCAGCGAGTGCATCATGAAGGTCCCAATATTCTCCAATGTAGCGTGGACGCGCGCGCACGCTGGGCACAGCGACGCTACGCTAGCAAAACGCGAGCACTCTTTAGCCTGACGCCCGGCGCCAGCGGCGCGACCAGCGTCCGTCCACGCGGCCCGACGGCAACCAGCGCGATATGCTACATGCTGCATTCAGCGCCGATGCGTTACGCATACAACACTGCATCTGCCTTTTTTCGTGGCGGAGGTGCGCCAGACGCACTGAAACGCGCATGTGCCAAAGCAACGCAGAGCGGTGCGCGCCAGCGAGTATATATGACACGACCGGTGCTAGGCGTGGCAACGCCAGCGTGACGCGACGAAATGAACGCCGGCAAGCACGCGCACCGCATCACGTCGAATTGTATTGGTGCCTTGACTGTGGCATGCAGTCATTTTTCTCACATGACACGCATCTTATGATTATCATGTTTACACCAGTCTCATACCTTCGTCATTTCTTGACGTCACGTAATGCCATTATTGGCATATGTGAAACAAGCGAAATGGCTGCGAGCTCATCATGAGCGTGGCATGTAGTCATGTTGTTACATGACACACATGTCATAATTTTCATGTCAGGATCTGTCGCTTGTATTCGCCATGCAATCATTTCATACCACACCAGTTTTGCGACACGTCATGTGAACGGAACTACCGCAAGACCTGCAGAATCATGAAATGTAAATCATGCAATAGCCATCATAATTTTCATGTTATTACTAGGCAAATATGTTCTTAATACAGTCATGTTTTTCATACCAAGTTTGGTATCGATACTATTAGAGAAATGGGTAGGATAGCTAAATGTCATAGGCGGATAGATAGATAGATAGATCGAAAGATAGATAGATAGATAGATAGATAGATAGATAGATAGATAGATAGATAGATAGATAGATAGATAGATAGATAGATAGATAGATAAGCTCAAGGTTGCCGAAGTTCACTAATCTATGCGAAGTTCGCTAAGAAAGTTCGCTAAGGAGTGCTAAGAAATTAAAATTAGTCTTTAATGAACACTCGTCTGTTACTTTTACTTCTGTGTGCCGGCAAGCTCGGATAGTGCCTCTTCCGCTAAAAAGAATGAATTTTACGAAAAAATAATTGTCACTTGTTAGTAATGCTTATAAATTATGTCATGCTTTGCTTACTTAGGATTTAGATGTTCTGACACTAAACGATTGTAGCCCCGCCGCGGTGGTCTTGTGGGTAAGGTACTCGGGTGATGACCCGCAGGTCGCGCGATAAAATCCCGGCTGCGGCAGCTGCATTTCCGATGGAGGCAGAGATGTTGTAGGCCTTTGTGCTCAGATTTGGATGCACGTTAAAAAAACCCAGGTGGGTGAAAGTTCCGGAGCCCTCCACTACGGCGTCTTTTATAATCTTATGATGGTTTTGGGACATTAAACCCCACATATCAATAAACGATTGTAAACGCGTGCGGGCGTTATGTGTGTAATAACGCGTAACTGTTCCGGAGTGTCGCAGTACGCCTTCCTTGCAAGACAACACACGTGACTCACTCATGGCGCTAGAAGGCTTGTTAGGGAGAACAGTAAAATGCACTACGGCAGTGCACATTTTTTTATCTTTAGTTAATTTCTATTACACAGAATTTTTCGGTATGCAGTGAAGTCGTGCGATTGTTAGTCGACGACAAAAAGGTTCACAGGCTCGCTGTCCTAAAATGGCATGAATACACAAACAACCTAACATTCACTTTCACGGAAAGGCTGGGTAGTGGCCGTTTTCAAACAGATTGGCAGGTAACTGCATCCTGAAACGTTGGGAGGGATTTGTTAGTTATTGGCGAAAATTGATTTATTGAGGTAAGCTTTGTAAACTTCACCGTTAGTACATAACCGCTCAGTAGATATTGCTTGCTCTTCTTGGGGAATATTCTTTGTTCAGCTCCTTGCTCTAAGTGTCCGCGATTATTTCAATCACCGCGTGGTACGCTGTAAGACTAGCAATCAGCCCTACAAAAATGAAGCTGAATTTTTATTTGGTTCTTTGAGACTCAGTACGCAGGCCCCTTGAGGTTATGTCACCTTGTCGGCTCAAGTAAGCCGGTAGATAATAAATCATTTCGACAAAGCCACTATTATCAGTTAAAAAAGTGAATTCTTAAATGCGGAAGGCAACAAAAACAGTGAATTTGATGGGAAAGCAACAAGCGTATGTGCGTAACCACTTAAGCCCATTGCGCTTTCTCTGTCATTTATTGCACCCTTGCTATGCCATGTACATCAACCTCACTAATTACTTACGATTATCTTCCTATTTTATAATACCAATATGCTCAAAACTGCTGCAGGGATAGTGCTGAACAACTAAATAGAAAAAACATCCTGACGGATATTTTTCGAGTAAAATTATCTAGATAGAGCTATCGACGACACTTGAAGTCTCATATTTTTTTTGTTTAACCTTGAACTATTGTCAAATATTATGGAGCCAACCCTTCGAAGTGACTGTATGCTGAGACTTCGCTTTGTGGTACAGGCGTAGATGGTATACACTGAAGAGCCCCCTTGATTGACCCCGCCGCACTGCAAAAATTAAAAAGTCTACCCACAGGCATCAATACGTTATAATGAAGGAAGAATGCGAGACCAACTCACAACAGATTTGTGAGATTTCCATAGGCACAGCGCTCTGTTCGTGTATTCTTTTATCACATAGTCGTTATTCTGAGCTTCATATCCTTCGAGCTCTTGTATGCCTTTCACACCAAATCCGTGCATAAGCTCGTGGCCAATCATCTGCAACAAAAAAGCTGCTTTGACATCCACATGAACTACTAGAGAATAATGCCAGGAAAGTAAATAGCGAATGTTATTATAAATTTTATAGCGAAAATTACTTTCCCGGTTCGATACCAATGCCTCCCTGCGATTTTTTTCCTACATAATTTGTCTCCACAAGTGAATCATTTTTGAAGTTGTGTAGGAATATCTCTGTGATAATTAAGCATTAAATTTTCAGTTTACTATATGGTTCGAATCTATAAACGCATAAATGTGGGAATGCCACCCTGTAATATGCTCACGTGATGCAGAAAACAGTGTGAATTATCTTCTCGTAACGTGTGTTCTTTAGCTGTTTGTATCTATTTATTGTAAGTAGGTTCCACTACTTTAAACCCACAGAACTGAGCAGATAGAATGACCGAGTAGAATGAGTATGCCATGCCCGATCCGTAATGAAGAAATCTTTACGTACCGTTCCGAGGCCACCATAGTTCAGTGCGATTGGCCAGTCCGGATACATGAATGGAGGCAGCATGTTGGCTGTCGCTACTGTAAAATCATTAAAGTAGTGCGTATAATACGGCCTATAACGAGCCTCATCGTACAGCGGTGTCGTCTGATCGGTCCAAATATAGTGAGTAGAGAGTGACAAAGCCCTGATCCATGTCGGGAATAATAAGTCTATGGGTGCATCCGGGTAAGGTTCTGCATCGAAAGATGAATAAAAACGCACAGCTACTTCGGTCAACGCTAAGAGAGATATTTTTGTAATGAGCGAACTACTTAGACGCTCTCCTTCTATTGCATGTCTTTTTCAGAAGTTATCTGGATATTTAAAGGAAAACAGTGCGACAGAAGATGAAGACTAGGAAGGGCGATGAACATGCAGCGATGCTTTGTTTCACTTCACTCATACCTCACATTTCCACAGACCACTTAGGGCAGTGATTCATGCACATTTGTAATTGGGCAGAGCAAGATATGATGTCAAGGCGTGATGAAGTAACATCACTTCAATACATCACTCTAGACATGCTATTCGCGGCGCTAGTTCTCGTTTTTCAGTATATTTGTGCTGGTGGCGACAACATCAATATTTAGACCGGTGCGTCCTAAAACGAATTCCCAATGACGTATGTTAAGCCATTATCGCTACCGGCCATAGTGGTGTAGTAAGCATGGAGCTCGACCACTGCGCCGAAAGTTCTTGAATGTGAAAGGTAGGCACTGTAATATCCATCTAATAAATTCAGTTCAAATTAGGTAAGAAACGCACGGCAAAAGTTATCCATTTGTAGTTCAAATTGAGTAAGTATTTATATTGCGAGTTACATGAACTTCCAAAACGTCTATCTGAAATTTTGTGCCACGCGATCTTACGCGTATTCGCTATAGAAGTGGAACATAACAAAAAAAAAACGTGCAACTGTGGATGCTACATCGAATATCAAATCATTATTTCAAATATTAATTTCAAAACTGCGTTCATGGCAGCCAGAGATCATTATTTCTTTCAAGCTTCTGGGAATAATTGCTTCTTCACCGCAAATAAGTAATGGTGTCAAGCCTCTATTTCATAAGAAAATGGTAAATAAACTTGATTAAACTACAGGGTAGCTTTCGTAGCATGAATACTAAAAAGCCTTCTCACACTGTTACATTCGCACTATGAGTGGTAAGTACGTATTGTGTAATACTGACTGTAAATCCATTCGACGAACTCAGGGTCTAATCGGCGCCCGGGGCTTCCGACGTACGACTTCATACTCTCCAACTTGCGTATGGCAGCTACTCGAAAGTTGATGCTGAGCGAGCTTGAATATTGGAGAGCTTTCAAGAAGGTGCTGCGTATTTCGGACACCATGCGCTTCGCCTTTTCAACCATGTGCACCTGAACCTCTGTTAAGTAAGGAACAACAAGAGCGCACTGTTTTAGAGCTAGCTATATTCAGTAGACTATGATACATATCGTGCGTTACTATTTACGTATTTTGTCTGAGTAAGAGAATGACGGCAGTTATGAGAAACCTATCGAAGGTGTATTATGAAGTAAGCTTACCCGACTGTAGGTAGGGACTGAGGACAGCCAGATTCATGACTTTCTTGACGTGCTCATAACACGCATCACTCGCACTCCTACCCTGAAGAAACATGCAAGGTTCAGTGAACTTAACCAGCTGCCTATAGATGTTCCAGGCAACCAGGTATCTTAAGCCTTTTTCACCCACAAGGACGTTTTGGAAGAGTTTCACTAGGATATTGGTTGCAAGTGGCCGGTAGATGATATAGTCTGACGCCGTATAGGTACCGTTCGTGTATTTCGAAATGATGTTTCCCCATTTACCTGGAAACAATGCAGAACCAGATTTAACATTGACAAAATAAACTTTTCAGATCAAAGTATGCCTGCGATACACAGCGCGTATGAACAGACGGCTTCCTTGGTGTCAAATAATAATCTGCTACCTTCGTGCATTATGATAGTAGGTTCAACCTCAACTCAGAAAATATCGGTGCATCTTCGCACATTCTGACCGCAGTGAGGCCGTTTATTCCTGTCTAGAATGAGAGGCGAAATATTCGATCTGCTCTAAGGAGTACTAAGCTTGCATGATTCATATATACTTGAAAAAAAGTGAAATTGCGAGTATTTCAAATATAGTAACGATAATAATTAATAATAATATATAATAATAATAAAAATAATAATCGTAACACAAACATTTAAACCGCCACACCGCCGCTAGTTCCCCGCTGGTTTACGGGACATCTGCCAGACATTATCACATAATATTTACTGCCTTTAAACGATAACAGCAACCATAAATATTTCATGTTGGTAAACAAGGTTGGAAGCAATCTGTCGCGTGATAGCTGCGTTTTGCTTGCTTCGATAAAGTTCAAGGCTGTTGGCTAGGATATCAATGTTTAGCTTTATTACATATCTTTTGATCTAGGTAGGACGAGGAGCATGCGATGGGCCCTTCGACTACAGGCTACAACAAGGCAGCCGCGTGCTGCATCACAACTCACAGATAACGCTCGGCACTGACGGTGTGAACGCGCAGTGAAAGAACGTGCAGCTGGCGCTCCCAGCGTGCCTGCACAAAATATTTATTGACCATGAGCCAGTGTTCGCTTTCGCGCGTACACTGCTTTGGCGTTTCACTGAAGAACTTTCGCAGGTCACTCGCATGAAATGCACGACGCCGCCAAGGCGTTTTAAGCTGCATGCAGCGTACCAACGCATCGTGTTCACGCGGACGTTTCGGCAGAAACATGGATGGACGTCCGCGTGCGTGCGTCCGTTCGTCCATCTGTCCATGCAGGCGTCTGTCCCTCCATCTGTCCGTCCATCCGTGCATTTGCCCATGCGTCTGTCAGTTCGTTCACCCGTCGATCCGTGCGTACGTCCGTCCGTCTGTACCTGTTAATATGCTGTGGTGTCCACACTAGAGGGACATGCCGTGGTGTCCACACTAGAGGGACGTTGGACTGCCCTAGATCATAGGGAGTTTTGCCCCTAAAAATAGTTCTGCATGGCGTAGAGCCACGCGCTTGTTTAGCCTGGATGTACTAACTCTGCTTTAGCCGCTTACGCTCATCCCTCGTAAAATCTTGGCTGGCCAACAGACATGACACAACGATCATTTTGTTTCCCTCTGGTAAGGATTTGGCGTGATAGGCACTGCACACTGACCCGAGGGAGCTGCGTTGCTCACACTGCCCCGGCTCAAAGTTTCTGACATTTGCCGTTAGGAGCACGCAGAAAGGGGATGCGTGCCCGCGCCCCCCATGTATCGCGGCAACAATCCGCTGACAGACGCAGGGTGCGAGAACTGCGCGTCTCGTTCCAGTTTCACCGATGCCGTGTCTAGTTTCTTTTCTTAACCGCCAGGCTACGTATTCTCGCGCTAGCATGGTATGGCAAAACTGGCATGGTATGGCATGATCGCCTGGCGAACACTACTGACAGACCCTAACATGAAAATCATGACATGCGTGTCATGTAACAACATGACTACATACCACGCTCATGATGTGCTCACGGCCATTTCGCTAGCGTCACATATACCGAATTTGGGATTACAGTACGTGAATAAATGACGAAGGTATGTGATTGGTTCAAACGTGATAATAATGAGATGCTTGTCATGGAAGGTTGCCATGCGTCACCCGGCTACTCCCACGTGGGGTCTGTCAGGCTAGACCTTCCGGTCCCCACGTGGGAGTAGCCGGGTGACGCGTGGCAACCTCAGCGTCTGCACTGGACCATAAGAAGTTGTTCTCACTCACTCACTCAACCACATTGCTACATGCCATGCTCGTGATGCTATGGCGGCCGTTTCCCTAGCTTCTCTTATACTAAATTTAGTACTAATGGATGATGAAGGTATGATACTGGCGGAAACGTGATATAAATGAGATGCGTGTCATGTAACAATATGACTACATGCTACGCTCAAGATAAGCTCGCGGCCGTTTGACTAGCGTCACATATACCAAATTTGGGATTACAGTACGTGAATAAATGACAAAGGTATGTGATTGGTTCAAACATGACAATAATGAGATGCGTGTCACGTAACGACATGACTGCATGCCACGCTCATGATGCGCTGGCGGCCGTTTCCCTACCTTCCCTTATACCAAATTTAGTTTTACAGGACGTGAATGGATGACGAAGATATGATACTGGTGCAAACATGATAATCATGAGACGCATGTCATGTGAGAACATGACTACATACCACAGTCGAGGCACCCATACAATTCGACGCGACGCGGTGCACGTTCTCGCAGGGGTTGCCACGCCAGGCGCCGGTTTTGCCATATACTCGCAAGTACACGCTACGCGGCGTTGCTTTGACGCAAGCGCATTTCAGCGCGTCCAGCATTCCTCTGTTACGAAAATAGGGAGATGCAGTGTTGTCTGAGTAAAGCATCGGTGCGAAACGCCGCATGTCGCATTTCACGCCGGGTGCCGCCCGGCTGCGCCGATGAACGCTGGTCGCGTCTGGCGTCAGACTCAGAGTTCTCGCGTTTCGCTAACGTAGCGTTGCTGTGCCCAGCGTGTACGAGCGTCAGCGCTACATTGGAGTATATGGGACTCTTCATGATGCGCTCGCGGCGGTTTTGCTAGCTCCACATTTACCAAATTTGGTGTTACGTGACGCAAATGGGTGACGAAATATATGACTGGAGCAAACATGATAACCGTGACCCGCATGTCATGAAAGAACGTGACAACATACCACGCTCATAGAGTGCTGGCGCCCGTTTCGCTAGCTCCACATATACTAAATTGGGTATCACGTGGCGTGAATAGATGACAGAAGTAAACGTGATAATCAGGACAAGAAAGTCATGCACGGCAATATTTACCTTCACCTCGTAATGTGCTGATTTTAAAGTGACATATCAATATTTCTCATTCGTGCTTTGCGTATCATCGATTCCCACTATACGGGGGGATCTGCCAATTTTATTATTGATGGATGTTAGTCCTCTGGCTGAAGATGTATGACTAACTGTTAAGAACATAAAATTGTTCGGGTTTAACGTCCCAAAACCACCATAGGTATGTGTCACGGACGGCCATTTTCGGCAGCCCCACGTCACGGCAATTAACGGGCGCCGTACTTCCCCACTGACCATGGGAACGGCGGGCGGATGAAAGGGAGCCGAGAAGTGCAGAATGGGGTGCTCTTCTTGGAACGTCGGCGCCGACGATTGATCCTATTGCAACTGCGGCGGCGTCTGCAAGGTCGGGGAAAGCCGCGATGTACCCCGAACAAGGATTAGACTACGGGACGCACCTTCTGAGAGCCAAACAGTCTGACCGTTCCCACGGGTAAAAGTGTGGGAAACCCTCTGGTGGCCAAGCCGTATGACAGCAACCGAACAGGTTGTCGTTCTCGCTAGTTGAGGGCCCTCTCTCAATTATAAAGGGGTGGGGTCAAATTTTTTTGGGGCGGAGTTTCCATCAATGAAACGCGCATGATTGGACCCATGTAGAGGTCTCTTGTCCCCAAGGAAGAGAGCGAGGAGACACGAGGGGGATTTAGGCGCAGGATTTTGTCCTGCTAGGCAGACTAGTCGCTGACCAACATGGTGTAGAAACAGACCAACAAGCATCTCTTCTAGAAGTTTTTAGTGTGGCTCTGTATCGGCTTGCCACCTAAACTTAGCCGTTCGTCTAGTTGTGACGCGATATTACCATCTGCAACGTAGACATCGGGACTTCGCCTCGAGTTACCTCAACCTGCTCGAAGTCACCTGCAAGCACTAGCCTCCCGGAGCCACCAGCGTTGCAACATCGCCGACATCGCAGTCGTGCCAGAACTCTCTTCGACTTCTCGCATTCGATCGTCGGGGACGCAACGCGGCTGGTCATCACACGTATGCCTTCACCTGTTTATATCTTCGAACTTTCTCCCCCGTAGTCTCTTGTTGTTAGTTTGTGTAGTTTGTAATAGTTCTCTCGCGTAGGCTGATTTATTGTTTCTATATGTATTTTTTAGTTGTATGAAGTGTTGATGTATTTTGTTAGTTGTATTGAAGTGTTGTATTAGATCCCGTGTGCTGCAACATCACTAGAGTAAAGTTTGTGTTGTTTTCTCACGTCTCTGATCTCTTCGCTGTCTGCTTGCGTACGGAACAAACCAACCTGCTGTCATTCCCGTCGCCGACTTTGCGCTGGCGACGCTAGAGTGGCAGCTTGTAACAGTATGCAAGAAAAGCCGTAGTGAAGGGCTCCCGTAATTGGCACCATTAGGAGTCCTTTAACGTTTACTCATATAAAGAAGAGCAGATGGCTCTTTAGCATTTTAGCCTCCTTCGAGAAAGGCGAAGCCGTGGCCGGAATTCAATCCCGTGACCTGCGGGTGAGCAGCAGGGTACCTGGCCACTAGACTATCATGACAAGTGACCGTTAAAAATAGAATAGAATAGAGTTTTATTTCCAAAAATAGAAGGATTCATGGCTGATACTAATGGCTAAGAACTGTTGTCAAACAGCTTGACGGGGCCGATAGACTGTAACATTGCATAAGTTAGAGATATATGAAAAAAATTGATATTTGGTGGAAACTTAAAAATAAATAACGTTTGCGCAAATGTGCAAAACAATATATAAATATAAATATACAGAGCCCAAAGTTCGATGCAAAATAAGACAGGATTCATACGTAATTGCCTCTGACAAGTGAAACGTTCAAAACAATAATTGCAAAAATTGAATAATGATTTGATTGATTTTTTGTGTTTCACGTCCCGAAACCACGATATGATTATGAGAGAAGCCGTAGTGGAGGGCTCTGGAAATTTCGACCACCTGGGGTT